AATTCTGCTCATTAACAAAGGCTAATTCTCTTGGGGGCAAATGTCAAGGTTCTTAAATATGGGTTTTATTACACCTTATAACTGATTGTTTTCCCCTTGAGAATATGTCTGAGGTTTCATGGAAATCAAGAAGAAACTTGTAACCATTGGCTTGAAATACAACCTGTCAAGAATGCATTTGATCTATGTGGCAAAACTGAATAATATGGTATATGAATAATAGGTATTCCATTTTTAAATTCATTCCCTTGTGGACTACCAGCCTGGCTTTATTTATTCTAGACCCGAGGCTAATGTCGGAACTGTGGTCATTTCAAAATGCTCAACCTCTCCGTATGGGGTTAATGGAATCTCCTAAATTTGGTGAGTGGAGGGCATGAGCACAGTTCTCAGAACATTGACATCTGCCTTCGGTGCTGACATTTGGAATCCAGATTTAGCGCCTCCACTCCCATCCATCTGCATCTAGCTAATCAAAGAAGCTTTTTTCCCGAAGATGGAAAAGTGGTTGAAATGGCCACTTCTCAAAGTTTAGGTACACTTGGGAAGCATTCCATCAAGGGACAAGATAAGCAAAGTGGACGGAACCTGAGAGCATTTTATCTTGATGCTAGAAGTGTGGAGGCTGAAGGCATAAACCAGTCAGCAATGCTAGCAGTTGTGGAGGCCCCAGGGGACTGGAAGACCATCTGTCCAGCTTCCCAAGATGTCAGAGTTCAGTACTTTCTCATGGTCGTCCAGTGACAGCATCACAGCTGGGAGAAGCTTGGGGCAGTGCAGGCTGCCTAATACGTTCAGAGGCCTTTACGGGCAAAGGAGACCTTAGAAATCATTTCCTTGAGGTCAAAGAAATGAAAAGGTTAGGCCAACATCACAAAGTCAGTTAGTAGCGGAGCCTACAATTCCCTCCACGTGGTGCTGTTCCTAACTAGCTTGCAAGCCAAATGTGGGGCCTTTGGTAACTCTAAGGCTTTGCCCTGATCTGCACGGTGCAGAGTCGCATCCTTCTGAAGTGCTAGGGCCACAGCTGGGCAGAGCCAGCCAGCGGGCTGGGACAGCTACTACAATGCCTGTATTTTTCCCCACTGAACTAGAGCTCATAAATAGGAACACACAGCAGCACACTTTTTAAGAAACATGACAATGACACACAAAAGCGCAATTCTGCTTCACTTTATTTATAAACAAGTTGAGAATGGTGTGGTCCATTTGAGAGCAAGAATGGGATAGGAGTGCGGGGTGGGAGGGTGCGGGGGACGCACAGAGTTGGGGGAGGCTGATTCCAGTAGTTTGCGTTATTCAGCACCAGAGCAAATGCTTGGGCATAAGGTCGTGCTTTAACCCAGACAAGTCATCGTCTTGTCTTCTATGTACAGCATAGTCTTAAGTATGTATGCTCTAGTTATGGCTTTGTCCCTGGACACACTGCAGTGACACAACAGAAAAAAACTAGAAATAAGTTGCAAATGCCTCATGAGCTATTTCTTTTTAAAAAATCTGATAGCCAAGGCTAATGCTGAATGGATGCCTAAGAATCAGGCACATCTCTGCTAGAGACAGGCTCATCTGCTTCAGCTGAGCCAGTGACACTGTCTTGCATCTCTCCCTGGGGTATGACTAGATGCTAAAATAAGTACTGAAGACGGAGAGAAAATAAATCTGTGCTCTTCCTGTCCCTCCCTCAGGGGGTGAAATCACAGTATCTAATAGCCTAAGGCATGGAGCAAAAGTGAAATCCCTAAGCTGTCTCTTCCACTCAGACCAGGTCAGAGGCCAGGCCAATGTCTCGTGTCCTGTTCCTCTTGAGGCTGGAGTTCCTTTGCCTTGGTAAGGTCCTAACACACAGGAGCATGCTTGCCAGAAGTAAGTCATTCAGTGTGACTATGGCACAGCAGTTTCACCCTTGTTTCTTAGCTGGTGGAGGGGTGATCAGTTGATTTTAGTGTCCCCATAAGCAGCTAATGTAGAAGTGCTGAAATGAAACAGCTAGAGAGGCAGGGACCCCCACATCTTTCGTGGGCATTTGCTAACCTTGGTTGTGTGTAAAAGGAACCCTTACCTCTTCATCTGTTAGGGGCGAGTTAACACTTGAAAGGGAGCGGAAAATCGGCTGGGCATGATGGCTCATGCCTGTAATCCCAGCACTTTGGGAAGCCAAGGCGGGTGAGTCATCTCAGGTCAGGAGTTCGAGACCAGCCTGGCCAACACGGTGAAACCCTGTCTCTACTAAAAATACAAAAATTAGATGAGTGTAGTGGTGGGCGCCTATAATCCCAGCTTCTTGGGAGGCTGAGGCAGAAAAATCCCTTGAATCCGGGAGGCAGAGGCTGCAATGAGCCAAGATGGCACCACTGCACTCCAGCCTAGGCAACAAGAGTGAAACTCTGCCTCAAAAAATATGTGTTTGTGTTTATGTGTGTGTGTATGTGCGTGTGTGTGTAAGAAAGAGAGAGAGAGAGAGAAAGAGAAGAAACAAAGAGAGGGAGGGAGGAAGGAAGGAGAAAGGAAGGCAGGGAAGGAAGGAAAGAAGGAAGGAAGAAAGGAAGGAAGGGAGGGAGGAGGGAGTGAGGAAAGGAAGGGAAGAAAGGAAGGAAAGGAAGAAAGGAAGGAAGGAAGGAAGGAAGGAACGAAGCGGAAAATCACTACCTTCCTGTTCCCCTACTACTTCAGTCCCACTTTCTCCCATCTTCATAAGCTGCCCCCTTCTGCAGTCCTAAGTAGCTTCCTCTAGCCCTCCTCAGTCTGAAGCCTCCTTTCCTCACTAGGGCAAAAAGAATCTCCTCCCTTGCGTTGTGTCATTCTTGCTTACCCCTCCAAGCTTGGAGCACCCTTCCCATATTTCTCATTCCAGCCTTAACTCACTCTTGGCCATTACGGTTGACCAGGCAGCCCTAACAAAATGCAACCTGGTCCCCACCTGGGAGCAGGAAGGTGGTGTGGGGGTAGGGGCTGTGAAAGGCTAAAAGATGGCCAAGAAATCTCAAAAGTTGGGTTGCAGAATCCTCCCCATTCCTTCTCAGTAGACTTGCAGCCTCAAGAGGGTATGGGGTTGGGGAGCTCACTGCAAGTTAGGAGGGTGAGATTTAGAACCCATTTATGTGTGGTTTGGGCCTATCCCTGGAAGAGGCATTGGTTGTTTCCCATAATTGGCAGCAATGGTGACATTATCTGATGAGTCACTAAGTGGCACCTGTCAGTATGGCATGTAAGACCTGCAAATGTATAGTCAACCTGATAGAGTGTTTGCTCCAGAGTGCAGAATTCAGGTAAAAGTGGATCTGTCTGCCCTGGGCCATGGCGTGGGGGCACAAAAGGCATTCCCAAGAGAGTCTCACTTATAAAGTGAGGTCCTGAAATGGTTTAAGGAGAGCAGATATTTTTTTAATCCTCCTTTCCTCCCTCCAGGAACTTCTTTCCTTCTATTCTCTTCCCTGTTCCCACCACATTCCCTTGCCTGGGTGGCCTCATCCTTTACAGCTGCAAGTGCCAACTAACTCAAATGGATGGTAGACTGACTTGCATGGTTTGACCTGAGTGCGTGATGGAAGACAGGGACCAAATGACACAATGGAAGAATGGGGCCCTTGTCCCTCTCTGAAGAGCAATATTCTAGGTGGGCCTTGACTGCAAAAGGAAGTTTTCTTCCTCACACGCCATGTTCCTGCCAGTTCTCTGTCCCACATGAGTGCTTCACAGAGTCCTGGAGAAAGAACGTGCCAAGAACTAAGAGGTTCCGGGCCGGCTTAGCCTCGTAGTTTTGCTTCCCAGCGGACAGCACTCATCTCCTGGTGGGTAGGGAGGTAGTTCAACCCCAACACAAAGGGGAAAGACACGCCGCCTTCCTTCGTTGGTTGCTCCCTTGTCACCTAGAAGGCTGGTTCCCAAGGAACCAGCTGGAAAGAGGCATTTCATCCCCTCTGAAAATAGAGGCCCAAACCAACAACCTGTAGGCGGAGCTCAGAATCTCTTGTGATAGACAAGCCCCCAGCTCTGTCTCTGACTTTACTGGCATACCCAGACAATAACCCAAAGAGTTTGGCTCCAGATCTTAACTCTCCCTGCTCATTTCACACAGGTGACTAAGGAGCAGGAACACCTAGAGTCCTCATCCCACTTGGCAAACCTAGGGCCAGAGATAATGATGCTACTACCTAGACCACTCAGATGGTGAGATCATAACAGAGCCCACAGTTCTCTGTAAAAGGTTTTCAGAGTTTCTCCTTCACCCAAAAATGTTACAGGAGGCCATGAGAACAACATACTCATTTCCTGGTTGGGATAAAACATTTCCACAGGAATCTGGGATGCACTTAACAAAGTGCCCAAGTCACCAGAGAACAGATGGTTCTTGAGACCAAGGATTTCAGATGAGTATTAGGGTGGAGAGGGGGAGTGGGGTCTATTATAAAATGCCACCACTATATACTCATATTGCACATGTGATACACCCAGGGATGGTATATTGGAGCATACATAGAACAGATACGTGCAGGTAGCACCCCCATCGGTATACTATGTTTGATGCCTCAAACTGTTACTTGAGGTCTATGAAACTGTTAACTGGTCGGAAATGGGAAAAGCCATTCCATAATAGCATCCTTTAAGGAGAAGCTTCAGGAGACATTTCTTGTCTGCTAAACTTGGAGCCAAAGCAAAGCAGCTCCTCTTTTTTTTATATATTAGGAAATTTTTCTTTGTTGCAGTTCCCACAGATTAAGGTAATTTCTGCAAAACAATGCAGTGAAACCAATGATGAGAAAGTACAACCAGGAGCACGTCAGGCCTTACGTGGAGTTCTTGACAAAACTGTCCTTTGAATAAAAAGTTAAGGTTCACACTAGATGACCTTTGATAACTGGCCTAAAGCAAGGCTTTATCTATGAGCCACGTTCATGGAACTGGAAGGAGTTGATGCGTTCCAACATCAGGTCTCAGTGGCTGGGCTGAGAAGCTTGGAATTTGTCTTTAACTTGACTATTTCAGAAGCACTTTGCCCCCTCTATTGGAAAAAATTTTATTCTAGAAGAGCTGGGATGGTGGGAGGCAACGTGCAGGACCCTTACGGAGGCAGAAGTAGCAGGCTGAGGGAACAGCTGCTTCCACAGGTGGTTCACTTGGTGGGGGTGGGTGGAAGGACCAAAGCAGAAGTCACCCCATTAGTGCAAGTCTCTCTGGGGCACTCTGCATCCTTTCTTAGCAAGGTTAGAGTGATTCTAGATGATGCTAAGAAGGTTTGTGTAGGTTGTCCCGCTCGAAATCTCCACGCCTCACCCAACTCTTGAGCTGTATGGAGGGTGAGAGAGAACTGGTCCCAAGACCTTCCCTTAGCAGAGTTCAGGGTCTCCCTGCTGAGCTGCAGCCCCTGTGACTATCACCCTTCAAACACCACCCAGGTACCCCCTGTGACCCTCGCCCTCTCCCCATCCTGTGTGGTGTGGCTCTTGCCTGCCAGCAGCCTCTACTTCTCATCCTCATCCCCCTCGCTCATGCTGCTGATGGAGGCTGAGGCTGCTTTTGGTGAGGAAGGGGGTGAGGTTTTGAGTGGGAGCCATGAGAAGGTGGGCGAGGGGGAGCGGGAAGGGGACCGGCTCCGGGTTGGGCTGCTCACAGGACTTTGCTTCGGGGATAAGGCCTGCAGCATCCGGCTGCTCCTCTCCTGGAACATCTGCTTCTAAAGAGAAATTTGAGAGAAGGCATCTGTTAACTTAGCAATCGAAGGCACTAGTGAAATAAAAAGGTAAAGCAGGCAGAAGAGCCAGTACCCCAAAACTCCTGAGCCCACAAACCTAGACTCGTACCACATCCCATGTTGTCCAAGACTATGTATAGTAAGGAACCAAGTGACATTCAGGGGCAGTGACAGAAGATTACAGTTACCACTGTTTTTTTTTTTTTTTTTTTTTTTTGAGACGGAGTCTCGCTCTGTCACCCAGGCTGGAGTGCAGTGGTGTGATCTCAGCTCACTGCAACCCCCACCTCCCAGGTTCAAGCGATTCTCCTGCCTCAGCCTCCCAAGTGGCTGGGATTATAGGCATGTGCCACCATGCCCAGCTAATTTTTGTATTTTTAGTAGAGGTGGGGTTTCGCCATGTTGGTCAGGCTGGTCTTGAACTCTTGACCTCAGGTGATCTGCCCACCTCGGCCTCCCAAAGTGCTGAGATTACAGGCGGGAGCCACTGCGCCCGGCTACTGCTGGTTCTTAACACGCTTTCCTTCTTCCCTTCTTTTCGTCCATCTACAAAACGTGACTGTCTGTGATTAGCCAGGCAAGCAGTCATGATCTAGGGACTGGAGGGGTGGCAGGAAAGAAAACAAAAACGCTGACCTCACAGATATGAGGAGGAATCAATCACACCATAAACAAAATATGGTATGTCAGACGGATCTGTGGTCTGTGAGAAAAAGAGAGTGAGAGGATAGCAAGTGGGGGTGGGAGCAGGGCAGCTGCAAACAGGGTGCGCCGGAAAGGTCCCGCCGAGAAAATGCCACTTGGGTGAAGAATGTGGAAGAGATGAGGGGAGGGACCAGCTGAATGGAAATCAGAGGGCAGCGCACTCCAGACAGAGCACCCCAAGAAAGGAGCATGGACCACACATCCGGGAAGTGCAGGCAGGCCACTAAGGGAGAGGGTTAGGAAGAGGTCGCCAGTGAAGGCACAGAGGGCAATGCCACAGAGGGCCTTGGCACCCATTGTGAGAAGTCTGCCTTTCAGTCTGAGGGGATGCGCACAGCAGGTCCCAGGAGGGGAGGAGGCCATCGTGGCAGTGTGGAGTGAGCTAGTGGGGAAGGGAGAGTGGGAGGCGCTTTGGGAGATCAGGCCAGAGACATAGCAGGAAGCTGTTTCACATACAGTCTCCTCTGAGAAGAGAAACCTCTGGAGAGTTCTGAGCAAAGGATTAACAATCTGCTGCTGCTTTTCAAAGGACCATTCCAACTGCTGTGTTGAGAACAGACTGCCGTGAGGTGGGGGTAGGAGCAGGGAGCCCAGTTATGAGCCCATTGCAGTAAGAATCCAAGGCTTCGTGAGGTGGCTCCCACCTGTAATCCCAGCACTTTGGGAGGCTAAGGCAGGCAGATCATTTGAGGTCAGGAGTTCGAGACCAGCTTGGCCAAAATGGTGAAACCCTGTCTCTACTAAAAATACAAAAAAAATTAGCTAGGTGTGGGGTGGGGTGGGGGGGCACCTGTAATCCCAGCTACTCGGGAGGCCGAGGCAGGAGAATCGCTTCAACCCAGAAGGCGGAGGTTGCAGTGAGCTGAGATGGCATTGCTGCACTCCATACTGGGCGACAGAGTGAGATTTGTTTCAAAAAAAAAAAAAAAAAAATTTAAGATAGCAATGAAGCCCGGTCTGGCCCAGAATGATGGCAGTGTGGTGAAAAATGGCAGGATTCCTAGTATATTTTTCCCCATATTCTTACTGAGGTATAATAAACTCACCCTTTTTAGTGTACAGTTCCTTGAGTTTTGACAAATGCATACAGTTGTGTGACCACCACTCCAATCAATGCATAGGAGGGTCCCATCAGCTCCAAATTCCCTCATGACCCTTTGGAGTCTCCCCTCCCCCAGTCACTGGCAACAGATCTGTTTTCTGTCCCTACAGTTGTGCCTTTTCCAGAATGTCATCAAAATGGAATCCTACAGTATATGATCTTGTTTTCACGGTAAAGCCAACAGGACTCACTGACAGATGGGACATGGGATGTGGGAGGAACAGGAATCAAGTTACTCCAGTCTCGGGCTGAGAAATTGGAAAGCAGTGATGCCATTTGCCAGTTTGGGGAAGACTGTGTGGTGGGAGGAGGTTTAGGTGGTTAAGATTGGTTTGCCAGTTTGGGACCTCAGGTGATGGTCGCTGGGTGCTTTCAGAATTGAGCCCTTCCCTGATGCTCCCCACAGGATGCTGCATCCCACTGACTCCTGAGCATCCTGCCTGGGGTCTTTCAATTGCTCACAGTTGAGCCTCAGCCCCCCAGCCACTCAGTTCAATCCTTTGATACTAAACTTGCCCTGAAAGCCAATTCTCCTATTTGCCAGCTTAGACTTGGCTTGTCTTTTGGGTTATTCATTTTACAAACCATTACAGATATCTTTTGGGGACCAGGTGCTACACAAGAGGCAAGGGAGGAAGAAGGGCGTAGAAGAGGTGTCATGTCTCAGCTGGGTCTTTGATGAGCCCAGGAAGAGGTGGGTGGCGATAGGGAGTGGGTCCATGGGGGCTGGCAGAGGATGGCCTTTCCAAGCAGAGCATGCTAAGTAAGGCGTACTAAGTCCAAGTTGCTTGGTGTGACCAGAGCCCCAAATGCCCATGGGGTGGCAATGGTCTGGACCTAGAGCACCACAAGGAGGCTGGATTTCCTACTCAAAAACCCCAGAAAGATTTTAATCAAGGGTGGAATCTGATCAGATATGTGTTTTAAAAATACCTTTGAGTGTCAGCATAAAAGCAAAGAAAGAAACCATAAAGGAAAAGATTGACATTTGACTACACAAAAATTTAAAATTTCTGTACTCAAAAAAAACCAACCATGAAATAAGATAAAAGGCAAATAAAAATATAGCAGAAATTTTTGCAACGTTTACCTAAAAATTATAGATCTTGGTATATACACAGAGCCTGTAAATCAAAAAGAAGGTGAAAACCTTAGTAGAAAAATGAGCATATGGGCCAGGCACAGTGGCTCACACCTGTAATCCCAGCACTTTGAGAGGTCAAGGCGGGCAGATCACAAGGTCACGAGATTGAGACCATCCTGGTGAAATCCCGTCTCTACTAAAAAATACAAAAAATTAGCCAGGTATGGTAGCACACGCCTGTAGTTCCAGCTACTAGGGAGGCTGAGGCAGGGGAATCGCTTGAACCTGGGAGGCAGAGGTTGCAGTGAGCCAAGATTGTGCCACTGCACTCCAGCCTGACAACAGAGCGAGACTCTGTCTCAAAAAGAAAGAAAAAAAAGAGCATATGGCCTATATAGGCAAGTCATAAGAGAAGTTTGTAAATGAGCTATTAAAACTGTTCAGCGTCACTAGTAACCAAACAAATGCAAATGGCTGAAATGAGATACATTTTATATATCAGATTGCTAAAGTTTTAAAATTTTGTTACAGCTAGTTGAGGGCTCAGAAAAAGGGCCACCCTCATGTTACTGCTGGTAGGAGGATAAAATAGCAACGCCTTTCTGAGGGGTAATTGGGCAATAGATGCAAAAACTTTTATTTTCTGAGGAGATAACCAGAGATATAAGTAAATCTTTATCATGTATAATGGTATTCAACGCAATACTGCAAATACACAACACTGCAAATTCTCGAACCAGGTTAGAGAAATCTGTGCAACTCCAAGATGATCTAATAAGCGGATGAGAAGAATCAGGTTCTTAAATAGTATTTCATCATGCGAGAAAACACTCATGAGCAACTGCAAAGCCAAAATGATTTTAGAACACTATGTTCTGCATAATCTCAAGTTTGTAGAAGAAATGTACATATACAGAGATGGAAAACAGATGGGAGTGATAACCCAAAATTTTAACATAGACTGCGCTGGATGATGAGACTGCGAGTGATTTCAGTCCCTTCTTTACTTTTTAATAGTTCTATAATGAATATATATTACTTTTTTCATCATAAAAAAGCATGACAGTAGGAAGAAAGAACTCAGGTAACCCAAGCAGAGATATCAGGCGGAAGGGCAGGTGTTACAATAATGACATTGGTAAGGAATTACTAAGGCTACAGACACATCACCAATAGCACTTCCCCCAACCCCCAACCCAACACTCATTTTTCCTAAGCTCTAGCCCCTTACTTTTTAGAGTCCTAAGTTTCCTCTGGCAGATATAACAATAGATGACTGGTTGACTGCTCAGGTCTTTTCCAGATTTAAAATTCCACACATCTGCTAATATACCAATCATTTACCTTCCATTAAGGGCATTGATAATTCTGCCAAAAGACATCAACCCCCCCTCAAAGTCCAACAGAAAAAAAAGGTACACTACAACAGCACTCCCTTAGATTAAACCCATTTATGAGACAAAATCAAATGCCATAAAGATTGGGCGGCCTATTATTAACAGCAACATTTAAAAACATTCCTGAACTCCTAGCAGGCACTTTAAAATATGTGTTTTTATTACTGTAATCTTTAAGTATATTTTCTGCGGCAGCCATTAGCCCTCCTGCTGTTAATGGATTGTCAGCATTTCCATTAGAAGTTCACTTTCTAAGAACTCTACAACTTGTCTACTGTAGTTTGAATCAAGCTCATAGCTGAGAATATTCTGCCTGAGAGGGTGAAAGAACTTGAATCTTTAATGATAAACAATGGTGTTGCACTTCATAAAATGCAATATCCATGCAAAATAGCTCCCAGCCTCAATTTGCCAGCTCTCTGATCTGTTTCTGGTGCATTTTGAAGGGTGGTTCCCCTGCAAAGGACCTGAATTCAATACAGTCAGGAGACAGTTTGTAATGAGCTTCCTGGGAAGAAAAGCACTTTAGAAATATAACAAATAAGGAAGACCAGGCATGGCATTTTCAAAGAGTAAAAGTATTTAAATTCAGTCTCTTATGGTATTAAGAGGTTTCCATTTATAAAGTTTTCCCCCAAGAAAATAATCCCATTTATAGTCCTGTCCATATGAAAGTCATTTTCTATTTCTCTCC